AGTCTCGGTGACGATGCACTTTCTTAGATCATTCCACCACACTGCTGTTTTCGGGAAGAAGGAATACAAAAAAAGAAGTGGCGGCAGGTGAAGCAGTCAATCTTGCATGAATGATTAAGACGAGGTGTAATGAAATCCGACTGTGTTAGGGCGTCTTGGCTGAGAGATGATGCATAGTAAATGCGATGAAACAGGCATAAGCAAGAAGCCTTAAGGCCAGTTCTGGAAGGTCGGCTTTCTGTTTTAATAAGGTGACGTGTTCATTGTTGGTCTGCCCCTTGAAGATAAGCCTTTTGTGAGCGCACCCCCTTGTTGACCTTGAAGGAGCGCCTGCTTTGCTACTACTTCTTTTTTCCTCTCTTTCCCTAAGCTGAAAGCGTGGTAGAAGGTGAGCGCTCGTCGGTCAAATAAACCCTCTGCTTTTTATCACTTGACTCCGCTCTCTGCACGCGGATAACGGCTGGAGCGTGATCACGTGGTAAAAGAATGACGCATGACACAATAGCAGTTCCCAATCCCGGTATGCCTGCTTGATGACCTGTTTCCTGTGTGCTGCGGCCTGTTGGACTGCCTTAGGTTTCAGTGGTAAATTATATATCGTCCGCGACAAAGTATTCGAAGTGTACCAAAGCTATCACTTTTCGAAAAGTCATACACGCATGTCGGCAACGACGATTTCTCCAAAGAAGTACATAAATTCTTGTGATGTGGTTCGGTTCGGCAAATGACAGCTTGTGCCACATCGTGTAGAATCTTCACAGAGTCCTTCTCGCTTTTGTATTTGTGTGGTTCTGCAGTGCACGTGTCGACATATATCAAGGATTACATCTTTCAAGTCCGCAATCTTTATGGCAAGTGCGCTCCAACCTACTGCTTGGCAACGATTGACCGTTCTTCTAAGGGTACTTTTCCAGATTACCTCTAGAATTAGGCAGTGTCTACTCTCCCGGCAACAGGAAGAATAATTTCCCAAAATTCTACCTGTAGTCGCCTCCCATTAGCTGCCTGAAATTATGTAACAACTGCCGATAGAATACTGACTTTTTTATTTTCCCGGCATTGTGTGCAAACACGTTTCAGTGACAACTCTTTATAGATACGCGTTTTATGGACACACGTTTCGTCGACACTAACATATCACCGACACCCCTCGCGCGAATTGCAGGCTGTGGGGCATTTCGTCGCGCGTGTGTCCCCGGCCGGCGGACCCGTTCACGCAGTTTCGCGGCGACAGTCTGCGACGGCTCAATACAAAAATGTTAATTCACCTGGCCCACCTGCACCCGCCATTTGCGGCGACAGTCTGGGGTGACTTATTACGAAAAAAAAAGCTAATCATAGCTGTCAATAAAATAATCTGTCGATGAAACATAGCGACATAGCGTGTTGATGTAACGTCGTTCAATTAACTAGTTGCCGCCGCCAATGAGAAACCGGTGTCATTTCGGGGAAATTATTTTCCCAGCTGCGGGGTAGACGCTATAACCTAGATTTACCCCGATTCTTGCTTGCTCTGCGATCTTCTCAGTTATATAAAAGCTTAGTAGTACCTCTTCACATTTCACAGATCGCTTGCACGTTTGTACTTGTCCATGGAATAGGCGGTATGTAAGGAACTTCTAGGAGATTTGAAGACAATCTTTTGTGTTTTTTTCCTGCCTATTTGCAAACACATGCACGAGTACACGCTAACGAACAATTTGTCTGAATATCCAAAGGGCGCGTTCAAATCTGTGGTCCCCAGCCAGGTCGAACGGCGGCCCGTATCAAGCGGGTACAATTTTAAACAGGTACCGTATCAAACAGGTGCCGTATCAAACGGGTGCCGTATCAAACGGGTGCCGTATCAAACGTGTGCCGCATCAAACGATTACCGTTTTAAACGTGTACAGTTCCAAACAGGTACCCGTATCCCATACTTAAGCTTGATTCAAAATGGGTCGACAAGTTTGCCACCAGATTGATTCAAGCGGGTCGAACAGTTTGCCACATGTTTGTATTTGAATTTTTTTTTTTTCCAGTATAGGGAGCCAGACAGTTTGAGCTGCAGTGATAATTCTAGTGCACGTCGTCTGGGGCGGTAGAACAGTGGTGCTGGTTTCTCAACAGAAAGTGTCAAGCAGAGTCCCATAACGTGGCATATGCTATTAAGCGCCTCTTGGAGCTGTCGGCGAATTTTTCTTGCTTGTCGAATCGGTCCAGCACACCAAAGGTTCACGTCATCTGCGTAGACAGAAATCTGTATGGGAAATGATCCCTGTTGTTGAAGTAATTTCGGAAGAGCTGACATCGCAACGTTGAACAGTAGAGGATTAGAACACCTCCTTGAGGAACATTCTAAGTCACAGTGCGTGGACTACCAGTCGCTTCGGGGGTTAATTCTTACCCGAAATTCTGTAAATGATAGGTAATGCCTTCACGTAGGCGATAATTTTACCATTTACCCCTAAATGTTTGAGACGCTGGAGAATCACTTTGTCCGGTAGATTACCTAATGCTCGTTTTATGCCCAGAAAGACGCAATGAAGCATTTGTTTGTATGCTTTCTCCCCTTCCAGCGCAGACGCCAAGTTCACCATTGTATCAACCCTGCATCTTTGTGCTCGAAATCTTGACAGTTGGTTTCGCATTCCTTGCGAATGTTCAAGGTGCCAGGTGAGTCCTCTGGTGCTTTTCGTTTGTACGAGAACTCGCGCATAAAGGTACTTTGCAGAGTCACGCGCTGATGCCCGTACATTCCTCACTGGCAGCCATATCCGTGTGCGCTGCTGCTGAGCGCGTGCTGACGGCGAGCTTCCGCAGTCCTTTTGGAGCGTGCATTTAGCACCATCAAGGTTGCTGGTCTTAGCAGGCTATTAATGTGTGCTCATTCTGAGCATGCGCTCTAAGCATCGCCCTCAAATATGGCGTCCAGTGAATACCTCCTATAGCTCCTGTGCACGCGCGATGCCCACACCTGGTCCCCTGTCTAGTCCCCTGGTCTCATCGAGCGATAATAATAAAAATAATAATAATACTAATCATCATCGTTGTCGTCGTCATCATCATCATCATAATCACCATTTTTATTTGCTCAGTAGAGCCGCGGTACAGCCGCGGCGCCTCAGAAAGGCAACAGCCGGTATACCTTGGATAGAGTACACTCTAACTTGGAGGCTGGCGGTGCCGCGTCTGATGATGGTGATTGTTTGATGTATTATACAAGATGAAAATGATGTTGATTATAATATGGTATGGTATGTGGTATGAACAATTATTCAAACCTTTTCGTCTCTAGTATTTTGATCTTTACCAACAACTTTTACACACACACAAAAAAGAACTCGTCAAAAATAGTACGTTGATACTCCTCATAATAGGAAAATACGCTTATCAGAAAAGAAAAAAAACAACAACTATATTTCTGTTATTATTGAGACTGAGCTGATGCACGCGGCTCATGGTCCCGTCGTGATCCGCGATGAAAGAGAAGAAAACGCACGTTCTTGGACGTTCCGCCAGGTTCTGTGGCTTCATTCAGTCCCTGTGACTGGTCTTCATTTTCGATGGAGCCCCGGCGCTTGCGATCCAAGCCCGGCTCTTCAGAAGCCAAGAACGAGCAGAGACCTACTTTCCCACGAAAGTCTCCTAGTTTGGGAGACAACATGGTCTACCGTCCGAGGAACGCACCGATTGCCTCTCCGACAGACGCCGTAAGCCCTACTCGTGCACCGGCGATGACAAAAAGCGGTAGTGTCAGTAGACTTTCACATTCTTATAAAAGGATGTCTCGTTAATATGGACACCTTCGTTCCCACAAAAGAAGTGTCAAAAATGTGAGTTGTCCGTAATAACGAGACAAGAATTACTGTACTCTTGTCTCGTTATTATGCACAGGCCGTAATCGCACCGTAGCAATAGCCGAGAAAAACAAATTCGGTGGTACGAAATATACGCGGCAGTGGGTACGCGCTCAGCGCCATGGTCCTACACATTGACCGCTGACACGACGTCAGTGAAAGGCGTATATACAAAACTAGGCACATCGGTAGTTTAGCCTCATATTCCCGTGCAACAACACGGTCCAAATTCTGAGCTAGAAAGGTACTTTTCGTGTAAGCAAAAGTGAAAGCCGGCTAAAGGCTGGCGCGTGAATTATTGAGGCGTGTTAACGAACACCTAGCCTCCCTCCCCCCCCCCCCCCCCCTTACTTCACCCTGAGAGGGCCTTTAAAAAGAAAAAAAGAATTTTTTTTTTTTTAAAGAGCCTGGTTGGGACACGCTTGTCGAGAAATTAATTTTACGTGAAAAGAAATATAGTTTAAGAGCAATATTGACGGCGCGAGATTTATTTTAAATTTTGCGGGCAAAGTCCATGACGTCACGGAATGGTCATACGCTCTTTCCATTTCAACGAGATAATCACACGCTCTCTCCACCTCAATGTGATGGCCCAAGCCGATCCACCTCTCCTTCATACCCCCCAAATGCCGTGAAAGAAAACAAGTGGAAAGGAGGTGACTACCGACAACATCGCGTCTCGCGCTGTCAATACTGCTGTGAAAAAAGTTTTTTTCGCCTAAAATTAATTTTTTGACATGCATGTCCCAACCAGATTTTTTTCAAAAACGTTTTTTTTTTCTTTTAAGGGGCCCTTTAAACCAAGCGGTGCGACGTTCATAAAAACCTCTCAATCGATGTGCCGAAAGTGGCCTGTTAGGCTACTCCATAAGCTTTTCCGAATACGCCTGCCGCAAAGCATGGTCCTGGATGGGGTGTCACTTTCGCTGGGTGGACCCAGAGCCGCAATGGCTAGGCGCGAATCTTGTGTTCCGGTGCGGAATTAGGCAAGTGGCCTAAATCGGCATTAATGAACTAATCTTTCATTATCAGTGTTTTCTAAAAAATAAAAAAAGTCACAACGTGAGATTTTGAGATTAGTCAAAGCTATGGGCAGTTGCCAAAGAGAACTTTCAACACGCGGTAATTGTATCTCCTTACGTGTGAATACTTCAGGGCGTTCACGTTAAACCAGTGAAAGAAGGAAGCGCCTTGCCACACAAGAAGGACCGGAAGGACTCCCTCGTGGCCCCGAAAAAGGACAAGCCCATGGCGAGCAAATCTCCGACCGAGGACGACGCTAGCGGATTTCAGAAGCGGAGGAAGGGCCTGCACTTGTCCAGCCTCAAGCGCAAGACCGAAGCAGAAGACGCAGAAACGATTGCTAAGCTAAGGGGCCTGGTACGAATTTGATCATGACGTCCGCCATGCTGAATTCAGACGCGGCTGGATTGGGGCAGAATACCGAGCCACTTTTTTTTTTTTTTTTTTTGGCAATTGATTTTGTATGTGTGACGTCACCACTCCAAACCGTTGGTAGGGGCGTTGCTATGGGCGAATACATGGGAATGGATTAGGCTTTGAAAGAATGATCGGTCAGAAATCGGACGTGGAATTTAAACGTCTAAATAGAACCGATATGGGGGGGACCCTAGATTTCACACTGACTACGACAGAAGTTTGCCGAGAATAGGCCGTTTCAGAAATATTTGCGACGACAACTTCCGGTCCTCGAGACGTCTCTAAATGCCTGCTGCAGACGACAAACGCATGACGAACGCACACCGAATGACTTAGGTATGACGTCTGCAACAGTTTGAACCTTTCGCACAATGATACGATTTTGATTTTTTTAATATTTTGAACTCGGCAGGGCCAATTGGAGAACTCCAGGTTTATAAAAACGAATTGCATTTCCGTGCGATACGATACTGACTGACGAAAATCATCCCACGCGTGTAGATTTGCTAAAAATACAGCGAGAAAAAGAACCTGTTTAGAACATGATATCAAAGCAACGTCGGGACCTTTTTTTTTTTTATTTTGCTGTTAACGTGTGTTGTAATGACGGAGCAATTAGTTTGACTGTTTGAGATCCCAAACTTTGTTTTTCAGGCTCGCAATTGGGGGTGTGTTTCGCACCTGCTTGTTGTCACCACACTGAGAAGAAATCCTACTGATTCTTAAGTTTTAAGTACGAACCTAGATAGCGAAGGAGAAGGCTAATAACATCGAATAAGTTATATTGCCACGTGCATGACCGAGAAGGAACACTACTCCTTACGTCTAGAAGATTCGTGTTTACTCTTTCTTCGAGTGTAAAAGATAAGGGGGCCAGAGTGACCTCGCCTAGTGAGTCTCGAACATTCTAGGTCGAATGTTCGTGATGCCATGTGTTGTAGATGAGGAGTCGAGCGTGAGCTTTGCCGACTCACTCGAATTCTTTCGACGACGAGGCACATTCACTCTCGCTCCAGCCGACTGCCACGGCAACGCAGCGGCGTAGGCTGCTGCTGTTTCAATGGATTTCTTCTTTTGTTTCTGGCACAAAATTGCCGATTAAACCTTTATTTTCAGTTTACGCTTCTCGAGCCGTTCTATTCGCGACATTTCTGGTAGAGATGCGGGGTAAAAGGGAAAGCATTCCTGCTCAGTCATGCACGTATCAATATATTACAGTTTTTTTAAAGCTTTACACTTTTGTTTAAACTGGCACTAGTGGGACTCAAGGATACTCGCACGCAATGCCACTGGCCAAGAAACTCCTTTGTTGCGGTGTAATTTCAAAGACAAAAGCGGTCTTTTTTGTTCAATCTCTCCTTTGCAAAGTTTTATGACGTAACGTGGGGATCGCAGTACATCCCAATGACGATATTTGAATGCGGTTCATATATTGGACCCGAGCATTGCGTGGGCACTCGATTTTGGTTCGTGATAATTACTAGCTCCAGAAGCATTCGGGTAGTGGCCCATGTCCAATCGCTGCAACGACGACAATAGCCGAGCCATAACAATGTCTGGAACTCAGCGCGTGTCCTGTGCTTTGCCAACCCCAACGCGTGGCCGTGATCAACACTGGCGGCATATAATCGGCTGTAGATCACGTGGCCGCTTGTTCTGGCTGTGAGTTGAGGGGGTGAACGCTGCTCGTTTTTCCTTATTTTTTTTCTATGACTTCTATTGCGTGGGGTGAAAAACGAACGCGTGTTTCATAGGTCATTAACGTCAGGGATCCGTCCTAAGCGGTATTTGCGCAAAGTACAAGAATTGTTGCATTGCCCCTTTAAGTGGTTTCTGCATGTGAGTTATACAGCCAGGGGGCCATTATATGGGTGGATAATTTTTGCAATAGTAGACTAATAAATTTAAAAAGACGTCGAAAAAATACAGGAACATAGACGAATGGATACAGGACAAGCGCTTTTTGTTTGCAATGAACCAACTGGCCCAAATCTCCACTTTATTGTAATTAATTAAAACTCGTGAATTAACTTTTTGATTAGTGAAAACACAGGGTTCCAATTAGAAACTTACTGAGCGTCATCGAAAACCACCAAATCAACTCTTTTTAGAACGACTTGAAGCTCGTGGGAAACACGGGGGCGTGCCAAATTTACCACTCATGAAGCAGGCGTAAAGCTAGCAGTGGCGGAACGTGTATGTATCTTCCACATGAAGTAGAAGTATATATATATATATATATATATATACGCGTTTCGCCACTGCTAGATTTACGCCTTCTTCACGAGTGGTTACTATGGCGCGTCCCCGAGTTTCTCACGAGCTTCAAGTTGTTCTAAAGTGTATTGATTTAGTGGTTTTCGATGACACTCAGTAAGTTTCTAACTGGAACCATATGTCTATTTTCACCGAATAAAAAGTTGATTAACGAATTTTAATTAATTAGCCAAGTTACCGAAAAGAGTAGCCACCCACATATTGTCCCTCTGGCCGTATAACTCACCTCTACAAACCGCTTAAGCGTAACTTTCACGGCTTTTTTTAAACAAATCTGTAAAGCTTAAAACAAAACAAAAAACACCCTGTATATATATTGCGGACAGTTCGTTTCGTCACACAAATCTGCACTGAAGAACTGTGTTGTCAGAAATCTTTGAAACGTGCGCTGACTTGCACTCCGACCATGATGCACTTCACGTCGTCGTCGTACGTGATTCGTCTTCACAGTGTTTTCACCTTCTCAAATATTATGAAAGCGAGCTCCACGGGAAGGCGTTCGGACGCTCCTGCAGCTTTGTGCGTCGATCAAATCTTTGAACGGGCATTCATCGCCTTCGAAATTCCACAGAAAGTTGACCCTGAGAATAAAAGTTTCGTCGATCGTCACCTACTACATTTTTCACAGTCGCCTACTCTCTCAGTCACTAAACCCGCGAAACCATTGTGCCATCTGCTAGCAAAGCAAAACCGATTGTGAAAGTTTTTTACGGGTCTTTGTCATCGCTTTATGGTAGTGATACGATGGAAAAAGTCTTCATGATTAGATAAAAGACACAAAGCTTACAAAAATTATTTACTTTTTCATCAGACAATTTCTAACCTCCCGTCGAACCCCCACGCATTTGTTTATAACAACGACTCTAGCAACATTTCTTTTAGCTGAGCGTCATGTTCTGAAGCCATCACTTACGGGGTCAATTGACCATATGTGAAATCGCTCCAACGTCTGGCAGCACTCTGCGTGCTGCCATCTTTGTTGCGTCGAGCTTGTTCTGCTGTTTGTCCATTTCCTAGCGTTGTCGTTAACAATCGAGGTCTACTGCTCTCCGTCATCGATCGTCATTCACTCCTGCGAGCCAAGGGTTAGTATTGTTTTACGCTGTTCTTGCACATGTACAGTGCGCTTCAATATGAAAGACCCACTCGGAGCGCTCAGCCACGCGCTACCAGTGGGTCTTTCATATTGCAGCGCACTGTACGTGCTCGTCGCCCCTTAGGTCGCTGGCTTCTCATCGCAACCAAGATGGCGGACGTACACTTCAGCTCAAAATGTGGCTTTGAGTGCCGGCAGAAACACGGGCGCGGGCGCCTGGTTTTCGAAAGCGCTTTCTCCGCCCGAGTGCTTGTGCGAGTGAAGCATTCTTCAAAACTACGCTTTCACGCCCTGGCCTTTGCCAGCACCGAAACTAACTGGTGAGACAAAGGACGTTCTTCGGCGCCACACTATACTCCATTTCACGATAACTTGGCGAACTGTGGAGGCTGCGGCCCCCGCGACCCAATAAGGGTGCCCGAGCAAGGTACGGGATAACACTCCATGGTCGAGGCCACCGGGGCCTCGTTACCGCAACAGCAACAGAGTCCTCCGCGACAAAAGTAGTTCCATGTGTCTTTTCCTTTTAACGGCATTTGAACTCGCGCGATTCCATCTATAACGAGAAGATATGAAGATTAGAGAATAAATATTCAAAGATTTAGTAGTTTAAATTATATATAAACCAAAAAAGTTACGCCACATTCGTATCCGCTCGATTTTTTTTTCGCCTTGTAGCGCCATGGCCGTTGGCGATCGCCGGTGATCGCAGCCGTGTAATCGGTGGTTTCCGCTCAAAACTTCGCATTGTTTCTGGCATAAGCACCCGTCACAAATTCGTGACTAAATTGAGCGTATGATTGTCTTATGAACTGTTTCCGAAGTGCTCGCTATACTAGAGGACGGATACGTTGCTGCGGTGGACGTTTGTCCGAAGTTGGTTGGTTTCAGAGCTGACGACTCTTGGCTAGCAGACGACAGCCGGTTCCTCGGGGCCTCGCGTCTCACATTTGGGGTGGTGGCACAAGTGCTCCCGTAACGTCGGGTCACGTGCCTTGCTCCAACCAACGTTATTAGGTTAGCCCAGTTACAGAACTGCTCATAGGCGCCGCATGCACCGAACAGTACCCCTTCCTCACTCACCACGACTCGCCAAGCGTCGCTCGACGCGCCGCCAGACGGCTGCTTTGGTAACTGAATCAGGATACGTACGTTTCAACGTACTAAAAACGTAAAGAACAACGAAAAAGAAACTCTTTTTGTAGGAACTTTTATTGGAGTTTAGTACAAAATGGGGGGCGCGTGATGTTTTCTAAAATCTTTAGTTTGCAAGGTTTTGCAGTACAATTAATATTGATTTTATACAACCGTGCCTTAGCGGTGATTTCAGGTAGCGCGTCCCGACCTAGGCTCATCTTAACTTCGGGCGAATTCGCGGCGCGTCCGTTGGAGACAGGGGGGTGGCACAAAGTGTTTTTGGCGCTTTTATGTAACTCTGGATCCTCCTCTATAAAGCCTTCTGCTCTATAAATGACCCCAGTGTCAGAAGCTTTTTTTATCGTTTTGTGTTTATTTTGTGTTTCAGCGTGAATCCTTTCGGGAACGTATACTTGGCGCTAAACGTCATATTATAAAAAAAAAAAAAGAATCTTTGGAGTAAAATTAAATACGAGATTTATTGCGTTTTGAATATGTAACTGGCATAATTAACAGTTTAAACGAACGAACCAATACCATAGAGTAATATACACAAGGTAAAGAGCGGACACTGCCATAGGCCCCAGCGGCCCAGATAGACCAGTGACAGGTAGCGCTCCTAGCGGGCGGTATTAAGTGTAATCTGATTCCGTTTCCGGTCAAGTTAGTTTCGGTTTCGGTTTGGGCGTTTCTGCCCCGGTTCTCTGGTACCCTTCTCTCTCTCTTTCCTCCCCGCCTCGCTCGGCTCTCGGGAGCTCCTTGACTCCCGAAGCCGCTGTTTTTTTGTTTTGTTTCGTTTTTTAATACTGACGCTCTTTTGCTTTATTTTTTACAATAGAGTCCGTGCAAAATGTATCAAACAATATTTCAACTTACTTCACAAAGCATAAGTATATATATTTCTTGTTCTTTTTCTGTTGTAAAGCATTGAAGTTACACAATCGCCACATTGACTCCTGGCTGGTGGAGCATTTTGGGGTCAACAACAGTAAGTGGTTCGAACACATTTTATTGGACCACACTCATGTATACATGATTTACTTCAGAAGCTCTGTATGTTTTATACGAAAGAGATTGATACTCACAAAAATAAATGAATATGAAGGACTTCGGCATATCGTACACTTCGTAATAGGTTCTTAACGGAACCAAGTTAACAAAACCTTTCCACGGAGAACATGCTGTATGATACATTCACTTTCACGCCGACTCGGGTACGGGAAGTAAGTGCAAAAATAAATAAGACATCGCTATCATTACCAGTCATAAGAGTATAATAACATTGCGAAGCACACGCCGGATAGTACAAATTCCCGATTTCCGGCAAATATAAAAAAACACCAATTTGCATAGCCTCAAGCCATTAACAAACAAAGAGAACTCTATTCGAAATCTGACAAGATTCAACGTCCCTAAACATTCCCCGAAATTGTTCAGAAAAGAAATATGGCTTCAGAAAAAAGCGGCTAAAAGACTATGGACAGTGGATACAAAAGTGGATACATTTTCTTTCAAATATTTTTAGCCTCTATACACTATTTTCTATCACAATTTTGTAGAAAGTGGACAAATATTTTTGTTAGGGAGCCGTGATACGCATTCGCTGGAAAAAGGGGAAACAAATATTTGGAGAGAAAGCTGCACCGCCCACTTAAGCACTTTTTGTTTTTGGTTTGGCAACCGCCTCTGTTAATACACTATTAACAGTTAAACCTGTCTCGTTCTTATTAACCACTGAAGAGTGCAACCGAACTTTGTCCAAATTCCGGTTAAGAAATCAAACATGTCAACACAAGCGTATTCTGCAAAACAACTTTAAAAAACCCTTTCTGGTACTCCTCTGGGCAAAGGCTAAAACCACCCAGACCTCAAAGTGTGCTATACAAGGCGGCACAGACTCCTCGAACATGTGTCACACTCTCAATTATGGGAAGAAAGTCATTTTCTAGTTGCTGAATAAAATGAAAGGCAGCCTGTGATGGTACTACTAAGTTCCCGAAGAATTTTCCAGGCACGTGGTATGCTTTAGGAACAAGACAGTACTGGTGAGGCCTGGTCAAGTTATTAGACTCACCCGATAGCAGCTGAGAACAGCCACAGCTGTAAGTTGTCTGCTCAAGCAAAAGCTTGATCAAATCGCCCCAAACGTAATAAAAAAGTGGACGAGTCATCAATTATGTTAGACCTGATGTCTGATGCCAGCTCAGAAATATCCTCTATTGGCGGGAAGTTATCAATTGGAAGACATTTCACAATGTCTGAAATTAATCTTTCATGGTGCAAATATATTTGCAACTCCTTTAGGAGGTCAGCCTTGTCATCCTCTACGTTTTCATTGTCCGACAGTTTGAACAGTTTCTTTATCCAGAGGTGTTTTAGTCCTGAGGTGAACTGATCCACATTTGGGTTTGTGTTGCAGCCCAGCATTTGTCGTATATAGCTCCAAAAACGTTCTCAAGTGTGTCTTGCTGCAGGCGTCGTGTAAGTAAGAACTTCAAGTCATGGCTGCTTGAAAGCTCATCACAGAGCATGAGGAAACTTTTTATAGTAACTTGCCACCCAATGATGGCTTATGGCTGCCTCCTCCTTTGGAACTGCCATGCTGAAATCCATCCGAGTTACTGGTGGAAAAAATCAAGTATTTCAGATTCTCCCTTCAGATTGGCATGACGCAACTTCTGCCCTGTCTTCTTGAATTTCTTAGCTATTTAGACAGTCAAAAAGTATGCACATCTTATCACAGAAAAAGGCTGTAGCCATGGCTGCCTCAGGAAGTTCCTTGGCATAAACAAGGGATATGATTGCAAGAAAGAGTAGACCTGTGGGGCACAATTTTTTTCCACGTTACAGAAAGGTTCTTGAAAAAATGTTTCTCTCAGTAAGTTTCGGAGCCAATTGCAAGCTCATCTCATGGATAGAACAATAAAGTTCAATAAAGAAGACCACTCAATGACCTCATTTCAAATGCAAAGTTTGTGGGCTTGGAGATTGCTCTTGGTTGTTTTGTGAAGGTGTTTAACATCAAAGACAAAGTAAACGTGTTCGTTGTCAACTTCAAGAAATGGCTTATCCACACACACACCAAGCTGTTGTTTGAAGCCCCCTAACCACAGACCACAGCCTTTACTGTAAAGCCAACAGTCTTAAAGGGGCGATGCACTGATATTTTTATTTTGCGCAAATACCGCTTAGAACGAATCCCTGACGTTAATGATCTGTGAAATACCCGTTCATTTTCACCACACGCAATCGAAGTCGCAGAAAAAAATAAAGAAAAACGAGCAGAGTTCACCCCTCAACTCGAAGCCATAACAAGCGGCCCCGTGATCTGGAGCCGATTATATGCCGCCAATGTTGATCATAGCCATGCGCTGGGGTTGGCAAGGCACAGGACACGCGCTGTTCAAGACATTGTTATGGTTCGGCTGTTGTCGTCATTGCAGCGATTGGACACAGGACACTACCCGAATGTTTCTCGAGCTATCGATTATCACGAGTCCAAATCGAGTGTCCACGCCATGCTCGGGTCCAATCTATGAGCCGTATTCAAATATCGTAACTGGGCGGTACTGCTACCGCCCAGCTGCGTCATCGGGTTTTTCGAAGGAGAGATTAAATGAAAACACTCGGTTTTGTCCTCGAAATTATAGCGCAACAAAGGAGTTTCTTGGTCAGTGGCGTTGCGTGCGAGTATCCTTGATTCCCACTAGTGGCAGTAAGCTCCTGTAAAGTGAAACACATTCCAATTGAATATCGTTGCACCGCCCCTTTAAGCTCCCGAATGAGAGAAATGAGGAGACTGCGTTAAACAGAAGACGTTGTTGGAGTGTGCACAACAGTGTATGCAAGGGGCTAAACGCACCTCCTGGAAATTTCAGACAGCATAACAACCAAGGCTCTATCTGCAATGTTAGAGGTTCGTTCAACACCGTCATCCGTAAACCCATGGACAATGTCGTGTGCTGGATCGTAAGTTAAATTCTTTTTTTAAAACAATCTCATCGGAAATCAACATGCACACAGGCTCAAGTGCAGCCAGACAGCCCGGCAGAAAGAACAGCGCGAGAAGCTCGAACCGATCGGCTGCACGAATTCACGCCGAGCATGCGAGCACGCGGGCGGTCATGCGTTACCTTGATTGATGCACAGTCGACCGAACATGATGCAGCAGAAAGCACAGATGGACGGCACGCACGGCACAGACGAACGACGCAGGGACGAGCAAAGGCCATGCAGAATGATGCAGAAGCGACGGCGTGCAGGCAGGAAGGCCATGGCAGGCGCCATTGATCACGTGCTTTTTGTGACGTATATGATTTAAACTATTTAGCCGTTGTATTTTAAACAATTTTAAAGCACTGCCAATTAAAAAATAAATACTTTTCACAGAAAGAGTTTTAATTAATTTTAACCGAATTGCAGAAAAGCGCCACGTTGCGGAGGGTATGAAACGCACTATCTGGGCCGCGAATCGGCTCCTGTGTCCTCTCTTTACGTTTACTATATTACTCTATGCCAATACGTCGTTTAGTACCCTTGCGGAAATGGAATGTCGAGATGCCACTGACGTACTCCCTTACTCGTTCTATTTTAGGTGGTCGCCCAACTGGAACAACGCTCCTTGAAGGCGGACCAGGAAACGCAAAAGCGAAATACAACGGCGATGGCAGCTCTCGTCGTGATCTCTTGCGTCTTCCTGCTATCGGTGATGATCCTATTGTTGCGGACATTGAGCTCCAAGAAACCACAAGCGACCGTGCTGTCCTGGTGCACGGCGGACGGTTGCCTCGAACACACGGCCCTCCTCACCAAAAGCATGGACAGATCCGTTCAGCCGTGTGAAGACTTCTACGCGTACGTGTGCGGCAACTGGAAGCACGGCTCCCTTGGCATAATAAATATCTCGGACGCCGCGGGTATAGTGAGAGCAAGACTCCAGCAGGCGAACGCCCTCATGCTTTTCAACGGCACGAGCAGTCTGGCGTCGTTCAACAGAGTAGCAGCGACGTTTAAATCTTGCATCGAAAGAGGGAAAGAAAATCTGCCCTCGAACTTAAGAAGGCTGAAAAGTTTCATGAAGGCTCGTGGCATTCCTTGGCCTTACGAAGCGCAGGGTGACAGGCATCCTTTAGACGTCCTTCTGGACTTGGACATCAACTGGGGCTTGCCGGTGCTCTTCGAGACCAGGCTTTTCAAGGACTTTCCTCAAGTCTCCGTGGTCGTGCGTTCCAATCGCCTGACAGACATTATTCTCGGAGAAGAAAAGCTTCAAGGATTCTTTGACAAGGAGATTATTCGAAATCGGATGTTAGTCTTTCATCCCATTTATCATCATGGGGACCAAAATATGAAAATGTTAGAGCCCGTGCAAGATACCTATGAATACATAATCAAAAAGCTTAAAATCGCTGTCGTCAACTCGCGGGGCTTCACACGCATGACTATCGACGTACTGCAAGGTACAGCATCACAAACTAACAGCAGCAAGAACACGTGGCTGGGGCTTCTGAACAGATATTTTCGCACTGACAACCACACGACCTTGACAGGCAGTACCGAGGTAGTCACAAATAATGCCGAACTTCTTGCGGCTGTAAACGATCTGACCAGAACCTTACCGTGGAAACATGTTCTTAACGTCATTGGGTTTTGGTTTGTTGAACTTTACACGAACGTTGCCGAGGACTCACTTCTCGCGATTACGTTCTACAGCTCAGCCATGAAGCTGCTTCCAATGGTATGCTATTATCAAATTGAACAGAGGTATGGCGCAGCCATGTTGACTGGCTACGTGGACGCCCGCTTCCCAAAGTCGAGTCAGGATCTCGTCACTACGCTGTTGACAAATATAAAACAGAACGTCATATTAAGATTGGGACAGAAAAACAGTGGTGCCGCCGACAGGGTGCGCCAACTCCATTTTCGACTCTGGCCCTCTAAATCTATAGAAAGCTCGCTAAACAAGGCTTTTCCCAATCAGTGGAGTCTCTACATCGACTTCTGGAATCAGACGCTTGGCACAAAAGGCCGGCTTTTGGGCCTACCAGAGTATGACGATCTCTACGACCTGCCGGGATTATTCGACCCAATCGTGGACTACATGCCTTTGGGGAACAAACTGTCAATTTCACTGAGTGCCCTTTCTTCACCGTTCTACTACAGAGACGGCACCATGGCCATCAACTATGGCGGTCTTGGATGGCAAGTTGCACGGACGGCCTTCAGAGCGGCAAAGGGCACGGTAAGCGTTCTTAAAAGAAATCTGCATTTTTTCAATATCAGCTTTTGCATTCTAAAGAAAGCTAGTTAAATGAGCTGTGCAACGATTTTAACGTTAAAAGAATTGGCATCTTCTACTTTTGACATTGTTCATCTTGCCACAAAGGACAGAAAACACACCTCCTTCCATCGAAATGTTGCAATTCCGCCGCGTAATCACGAGGCAAAATTTAGAATAGTATTCCTCGACCTGCAACCGCGAACGGCTGCCATGAGAAACGCGCGGCGTGACGTCAATGGGGGGGGGGGGGGGGGGGGGGGGGGGGGAGGGGAGGGGTCTTGTAGAAAGCAAGTTGTGCGAATACCTGCTCGATAAAAGGTAACTTTTCTATAAATCTTGTTCCAACATAAATATAAATGCGTCAAACACCTGGTATCATCGATGATGATGATGATGATTAACTTTATTTTCAAAAAGGGTGGCGCCATGGCCTCATTGGGGGAAGGGGAACATAGGTCGGAAAAGTTTACATTCGGCGGTGCACTCCTGTCGAGCGCGCAAACTCCCATAGGGAGATCAGCGTCTCCCTGGTCCGTGCCTCGTTAACCGGTGTGATCCAGGCCTCTAAAGTGTCGATGTGAGGCCCCAGGTGTTTGGCTCTTTTGTCTCGCAAGCCGGCACAATCCCAGAGTAAGTGTCGGATCGTCGGGCTCACGCCGGCGGTGCATGTAGTGCAGACGACAAGTGCAGCGGGCTCGGACCCTTCCGGTGGCACTTGGTCGGGTGGGCGGCCCCTCCATGGTTTGTAGCTACGCCACCGAGCGAGTATGCCTTCGGTGAGCGCAGCTCCGGTGCGGGCCTTGTGTATTAGCACTTGTGCCCCTCTGGGTAAACCCTTGGGTAACGGTGCCGGGTTGTAGGGTGTTTGATCTCGCAGCCGACGCTGATCCTCTTGTCGGGCCGCAGATTTCTTCTCTAGGGGGTCTGGGTCCGGCGGCGCGAAGGGAACGAAGATCCCTGGGTTGGAGCGGTAAAACTTTTATTATAGGGAGCTTTAGTGGCGCCATCTATCCTAGGTCCTCAAAACCGTCATCTCTATCCGCTACCGCGAACAGCCGCCAGAAGCCGAAGGGGGAGGGGTACAGAGCCGGACGGGTATTGCCGGACCAGAGCCGAACCCGGAGGAGACTTTCCTCTTTTCACCATATTGTCCACGCTGCGCCCGCCAGCACGTGGCCACGCGGTCGCGAGCGGGTGAGTTCTCGCTGCTCACTGGTGGCTCTAGCCTCGTGGGACCCGAGAAAAATACGCCATAGGTATTTAAGATTAAATACCATTAACTGCTATGTTAGTGGTTAGTTTGAGCATTTCTGACTTTTTTTTGCAGTGTTAGTTTGCAGGTTCAGTAAAAATGGATGTCGACACACATGGACACTGGGACTTTACACTTCAAGTCAGAAAAGTAAATACATATTTTCTTCAACGTCTTAAGAGCTAAGTTTTAGACGTTACGTTTCGGGCGGAAGAATAACAAAACTGGAGTGATACTGACAAAAAAATGAGGCTGATTTCTTGGTATGAAAACTAAAGAAGCAGTGCCAGTCAGTTTCAATGCAGAGGAAGATATCACTGGACGGGCAACGGTGCCGGGTTTTCTCTGAGCAGCCAGCGTTCCTGCACCGTGCAGCATTCTTGACGTCGTCTTTCTCTGGCATGTGAAGTGCCCGCGCCGTTCGGACTGGCAAGCTTGGCAGCGGCTTGAATCTTTTAAACGTAACTTGTGGCACCGCAGACACTGTCGAAAATGTCATCATCCTGATTTGTTGTAAGTCTTAAAAAATTTAACACAATCAGTCAAACGAATACGCCTCGCAAGTGGGCTCGTTTTCGTCTTCTGCGCATGAGAAAGGAAGTAGCGGTGACGTCAGAACGCCGAGCCCTGACTGGCTGATCGTGACCCCCTATCTGAGTGTCGTCTGCTCCTTTGCAACGTCGTCTGCTTTGCGAGCAGACGTCGTCTGCGTCTGTCGAGCGAGCTCGACTGTAGAAGTCGAGCGAACTGGACTTCGCCTTTCAGAGAGGGCAGACGAAATAACTCGAGCGGTACGTTGTTTTTGTCTAGCAACTAGCAGACGCGCATCAAGGAGGGAAGTCGAAGGACTCACTGGCGAGGTGTCGGCGAGGCGCCGAGGTTTGTTTGCTAAGAGCCGAGAGTGAGCGTGTTAGTGTCCGCAAGTTCCCTCCCAAGTACTTTTTCCCTCCTTTCGTGTGCGGCGAGACTCCTCACTCTTTAACGGCGTCGGTGGGTTGGCGCAGTTAACGTCGTCTGCTTTACGTCTGCTAGTCAAAGCGATGGCTGCTTTACCTTTCCTGCGTCTGTCGGAGATTCACCGCTTTTTTTACCGGCGAGAGTCACCGTTGCCTCGGAAAACAAGGAGATGACAGGAAGAAGAGATTGACCTCTTAATCAAAAATTGAGGTCAGCGATCAAAGTATAAGACGGGAAGGGTTCACAAGGGTCGCGCGGGCGTATTCCATTCAGCACGCCAGCCGGTCGTGGGCAGACGGTCGCCGAGTCGGAGTGCCTGCTAGGCCTATCTGCCGTGCTCGCTTGGTCGTTGTTGGTGGAATCGGGGCCGTTAAAGCTTTTCCCTGGTGTTTGTGGATCCAGCATTCTTGTTCGTCGTGGTCTGTTTCAAGTAGTTTTTACTTTTTTCTTTCTGCTTGAAGTCGGGACGCGTGAGAAGCGCACGTAAAATAAGCGACCGTTGGTCGTCGCGACCGCGACGCTGTCGGCCATGCTGATTTGATCGTAAGAAGTGCGTAAGACAGCTTCGGAGCTGTCGTAGGATTTCGTCGTAACCTGCGCAAAACTTACGAAAATTTCGTTTCGTGAATACGAATTTGTTCTCAAGTTTTGTCTTAGGCATATTTTTGGCGTGAGATCGTTTTGTGAACCTGGCCTCTGCACTTCCGAAAGTCGCAGGAAAGGTAAGACAGACGCAGACGACGTTGCGAGCAGACGACGTCGCAAAGGAGCAGACGACGCTCAGATAGGGGGTCGCGATCAGCCAATCAGGGCTCGGCGTTCTGACGTCACCGCTACCCCCTGCGCAAGGAGCAGACGAACTTGCCCTCCGCATTGTTTTCAGTTCGCGAGTCTTTGACATTGATGGTGAGGAAAACATGATCATAGCGAAATTCCTGTCACAAGTTTTGGATCCCAGCGTCCACCTACGGGGACACACAGTTTGTCAAGCGACCACCGCAACCCATGCGAATAGTCTTATTAATATAAAGCATTGTTAACCATCTGTGAACTTTGAAGAGCACTAGAAATACAAATTAACACAGTCTCCGTTTGTGTAAATCATGCAGTCTGATTAGATACCCTGGCGTCACCCGTAGAAGGTGAGACTGCTGCAGGTCGCCAATTGGAACGGCGAGCAGCCAGTTGTTTTCAGTGCTGTTCGCTCAACACTCCTCCAGATGGCAGCACAGACTATGTCCATGACGGTGGACAGGGTTTTTTTCCTGTATGGGGGCCGTTGTTTTCCAACATTTTAAAACCCAATGTCCACACTGGTGGACGCAGCGTCTCAGGAGGCTAGAGAGAGAGCTTCACCGGAACCCCGCGCAAACCTCATTGACGTCACAGCGCACGTGACTTGTAAGATGGTGAAGGAGTTGAGAGGTGCCGGAAATCTCAATCTTTATCCATTTTTAAAATAAAAACTAGGGCATGCTGGCAAAACCGGTTTTTTGTTCTTTACTTCAGGAAGGTCGAGACACTAACTCCCAAAATATTTAAGCAAAGCACTGAAACTGTTGCACAGCTCCTTTAAATGCTGTGCTTGTTCATGGCGCCGGTGGCACGTCAAAAAAATTTCATGTTACGTGACTCGCGATGGGAAGTCATGGTATCACATGGCGTCGCTGTGTCAACGACCGGTGTTATTGGATCTAGGAAAGTTTTGTGTGACGTCACGTCACGTGACAACGCTACTTTACATCACGACTCGACACCGTGAGGTCGCGTGACATTAGGTCACGTGATGTCACTTGTCATCATGTGATTAATCAGTATGCCAATAGTATCGTCGTGGAAACCACGTTGCAATTCTGGATATCACGGTTTGATCGATACATCAAAATACAGCTGCCGCAACAGTGAATGATGCCAAAGAAACCACGAGAGAACAACGTTGCCTGTATGGCAACCGACATGACGTTATGTCATCGTGTTCGAGTAAATACTGCTTTAATTGCGACAAACAATATAGAAAACTATGCGTAACAATAACAATCTGCAAGGTATTGTTAGCGAGAACGAAAATATTGTTTTCTTCCTTGCTGGCATGTTTGTTCCACTGAAATGGATGCCACGAGCGCCCACAATGTCATTTCAATTGTTTTGACGAAATTATGTTTAGGTGGACGTCGGCTTAGAAAATTTTCATCTTTCCCACTTATTCCATGAAAGAGGTCATGCCATGTTCTCAGTATTTCGCTTCATATTCCCACCGCTAGTGCTCTATTCTGACGGAGCATCGACTTTCTGTAATGCGCAGTTTTTATTAAGTGGGCCGAGGAACCGGTTTGAATTCTATCGATTGAAGCCGGTAGTTCCCATTTCGCACATCGCTAACTTTATGGGGGTGCTAATTTTTTTTCTTCTTACTATTTGTGTACAGTACAAGAGTAGGCATGCGGGCGAGCGCGCAGGATTGGGATTTGGGAGCTTGCGAACCTCGAGGAACTTTCAAACCCTTGCGCTCGTTGGTCGGGCGCCTGCCTCTCCCCAGACTGTACACGTATTCCCGAGCAGAAAACAAGAGCACGCAAAAAAGTTAATGGAAGGTCTTAGAACACAGATGGTAAGCGCAACTTAAAGAAATGACACGAGAGTTATGACAGAACCGTACGAACCAGACAACTATACGTTGTCTACAGTTGTTGAGGTACGGACTATACTCTGTTCACCCTTCAGTTGAGACCATCGTGGTTGAGACTGCAGCCAAAGGGAGCAAGCCCGCGCTCCTGGCTTTGCGACACGCATTTCTAGCGCGAGTGCTCATTCTGCGAAGAAC